ATCCATGCTAATCCTCCTCTTTTTGCTGAGGAAGACTGGCTCTGAGCTAACATCTATTGCCAATCCTCCTCCTTTTTTTCCCCCAAAGCCCCAGTGGATAATTGTACATCATAGTCGCACATCCTTCTAGTTGCTGTATGTGGGACGCGGCCTCAGCATGGCCAGAGAAGTGGTGCATCGGTGCCCGCCCGGGATCCGAACCTGGGCCACCAGTAGCAGAGCAGGTGCACTTAATCGCTAAGTAGGTTTTTTTAAAAAAAAGTCTCTTTCATGTCTCTCTACTCAATGTGTCTGATCTACCATCTTGAACAAATGGAACATAATAGTAATAACTATTTTAATTTTTCCATCTATTAATTCTATCATCTGTGTCATTTGTAGGTCGGCTTTGATTGATGGATTTTTTTCTCCTTATTATTGGTTGTATTATCCTGCATCTTTGCATGCCTAGTAATTTTTGAATAAATGCTGGGTATTATAGATTATACCATTTTGGGTATTTCGTATTACTAAAAGTATTCTTGAGCTTTGTTCTGCCACAAGGTTGTTACTTGGGAATAATCGATCCTTTTAGGTCTTGCTTTTAAGCTTTATTAGTCAAGATCAGAACAAGGTTTATTCTAGGCCTAATTTGCTCCTTCTACTGAGTCAAAACCCTTCTGGGTACTCTACCTGATGCCCCAAGATTAATGAGATTTTCCATTTGGGCTGTTGAGAACAGCAACTATTCCCAGCATTGTGCATGCTCTAGGCACTATTCACTCTAATCCTTTTGGCAATTCTCACTCTTGCGTTGAGTAGTTTTCTTACCTGCTTACACTAATCAATACTCAGCTGAAAACTTGAGGGAGACTCTCCATTGATCTCAAAGCTCTTTCTCTCTGTATGCAGCTCTGAATCTCTTTGGTACTCTGCCCTGCAGACTCTTGGTTTACCTTGTTTCCCACCTCCATCTCCAAAATGATCGGAGAGATCACTGGGCTTTGCCTACATTTCCTCCCTGCGGTGTCCTGGCCTGGAATCTTTCTCTAGGCAGTAATTTGGGAAAATTATAGGGCTCGCCTCCTGTGTTTCTCATCTTTCTAGTATTTCTGTCCTTTGTTCCCTGATGTTCAATGTCTTGAACATTGTTGTTTCAGATACTTTGTCCATTTTTGAGTTGTTCAGGTGGGAGGATAAATCCAGTTCCTGTGACTCCATCTTTTTACTGAAGCAGATCTCTCTCCTGCTGTATTCTCACCAATCTTTAGATGAATAAAGACGGGGTGAGAGAGGTTAAATAACTTGCTCAAAGGCACACAGGTAGTAAGTGACACAACTGGATTGGAATATAAATCTTTCAGACTCTCAAGATAATGCTCTTAATCATAAGAGCATTAAAACCCTCATATATAATATGAATTGATTTATTTAATAATTGATGTGTTTATATGTAGATATTATATTAAGAAACACTGACAAATTTCTTATAGAAATTGCTTTCCCTTTCTCCCTTTTAAAGATACATGTGAGGAACGTGACGAAAAAGTAGTTTTAGTTTCATCTGCATATGAAATTGATGTTCGTTCGTGTCCTCTTAACCCAAGTGAAAGCAAAGGCACAATAATTTGGTATAAACATGACACCAAGACTCCTGTATCTATGGAAAGAGACTCCAGGATTCATCAGCACAAAGATAAACTTTGGTTTGTTCCTGCTAAGATGGAGGATTCTGGACATTACTTTTGTGAAGTAAGGTAAGAAAGAAATTAATATGTTACAAACATGTGTTCTGTGTACCTGCAATAGTTGAGGACAGAAAAATGTTTTAATAGTGCTTAATTCACCTATTTTTATTTATTTTAGAAATTCAACTCACTGCCTCAAAGTTAAAATAACTGCAGAGTTTGTAGCGCATGAGCCTGACTTGTGCTACAGTGCCCAAGCTATATTTACACAGAAACTACCCCTTGCAGAAGATGGGCAACTTGTGTGTCCTTACTTGGAAGTTTTTAGAGATGAAAACAATGAGTTACCCGAAATACAGTGGTATAAGGTAATTTTATATTAAATATGGTATTTTACTTTTCCAGCAAATAAAATAGACAATAGAATGAATCTGCAGAGTACTTTTTCATTTGGCATATTGTTTGCTTTAGAGTAGTGAAACTCGCTAGGAAATTTTTTAGAAGACTGCATACATTTAATTTGCAGCTAAACTAAAATCTTACTTTCTGTTATTTTTATTTAATAAGATACAGTTGAGAAAAGTATAGTAGGAATAAAAGATGTTTAAAGATAAGGCTGATTATAAATTTAAAGGTTTTAGAAGATAACTATTTATTACAAAATATATTATTTTGTGTTTCATTAAAAATATTAAGCGGTTCTTAAATAACTTAGCGGTTTCTGGAACTGTCTTAAAAGTGTATTGGCTAGCACTCCATGGGGCACATCATGTTTTGGCATCTTTGATCTACCTTGTCTGTTGGAGCTGACATGGGGAATCATTTTGTAGAGGTTAAGAAATACACAATAAATAATATCAGTGAAGAAAGGAAGTACAGCCTTACTAGGAAGCTATAGTGTTAGCATTCTTTCCTCAAATGAGTTTTTCTTGCAAAATAAATTTGTCTTCACTTGTCTTCAAAGTGCAAGGCTCATAGGCATAAAAATTTAATATCCCAGGAATAAAATTATGACTTTTGCCCAAAAAATACAATATTAAAACTTGTATGCAAGTATTTTCTATTCACATATATGTGAATTTTTATATAACACTTGCCAATGTGAAAAAATGGAGTTTCTTTTGCCAGTAGACTGGGGAAAGTTGTTAATTGGTTTTCAATACTTCCTTCCTCTCCCTTTATCTAGGACTGCAAACCTCTACTGCTTGACAATATAAACTTTATTGGACAAACAGATAAACTCATCGTGGTGAACGTGACTGAAGCGCATAAAGGGAACTATACTTGTCATATATCCTACACACACTTGGGAAAGCAGTATCATATTACCCGGGTGATAGGACTTATTACTCTAGGTGAGTCATAGCTCCAATCCTAGGAGTTTCAATCTGGGAAAGCCCAGAGAGCATGATTCTAATATGACCTTCCTTGTCCATGGAGGAACTAAATCCAAGAGAAGCTTCATGACTTTCCAAAGGTCACCTGGCTTTAGTTTTTGTTGCTAAATACGATGTAAATATTTTTCATTCCTGCTTCAGATGCAGTGCTAGTTAAACAGACAATATGTGCTCTGTTTTCCAACTGAACTAGGAAGATTATTGTTTGGCATGGCTAAAGATGGTCCTACCAGAGAGCTCTGGGGCTGTCTCCAGCTGGTGTATGAGGACAGGTCTGAGAACCTTTACTTGGGGAGTCTCAGTGTCTAGCAATGAGGATCATTTGCGTGATGGGGGGACGCTAACGGGTTTTGGAATAAGTTACACTCCCAGAATCTACCTCCTGTTAGTTCCCTGTTGGTTACTTAACTTCTCTAAGCCTGTTTCCTCCTCTTTAAGAAGATGATACAACCTTCCCAAGTTGTTGAGAAAATTAGAGATCACTATGCTCAGCTTGCAGTCATGTGCCTGGTGCATAACAGATGAGCAATAAATAGGTATACGATGATTATTCTTGTTAATTTTCCTGAGGCTTTCTATTCTCTATTAACCATGTTTCATATTAAAAACTGTTTTACAACAAAATGCCGTCCTACATATTACCTAGGGATGGGCAGAATGTTCAACCTTTCTGTAAATATCAGATTTTGTAAGTAATATAAGAAGAGTTACTCTAACCAGGACTTAGAAAGTTAAAGGAGTCTCTATTAATAATTATGCTGGGGGGCTGGCCCAGTAGCACAGTGGTTAAGTTTGTGCACTCCACTTCGCCGGCCCAGGGTTCACAGGTTTGGATCGCAGGCATAGACCTACACCTCTCATCAAGCCATGCTATGGCGGTGACCCACATACAAAATAGAGGAACATTGGCATGGATGTTAGCTCAGGGCCACTCTTCCTCAAGCAAAAAGAGGAAGTTTGGTGGCAGGTGTTAACTCAGGACTAATCTTTCTCACCAAAAATATAATAATAATTATGTTGGGACAGCAGGCATAAATAGGAAATATCCTAGGAACACCCAGAATATGCTCATCCTACATATAGCTAAGTTTTCTCAATTCTATAATTTATTTTTTCAAAGATTAATTTTATTAAATAAAAATTAATTCCTGCCTAGGTCCCACGAGCATCAGCAAATCATAATTTTCAATAGTCCTTGTGTCACAACCATCTTGAGTTTTTAGCAGCCTCTCTCCGGTCATTGTGTAGCTCTTGAGATATAGCAACCAGACCAGCAGACAGAATTTTAGGAAAAACTGGACACTAGAGAATTTTTAAACAGGTCAAATATGTGTTAAATATTCTCCATCTCCTTTTATGATCCCTTATGTAGAAATAATATACTTAATCAGGAGTGAGGTCATAGTTTGTTTTCTTCTAAAGGCAGATTCAGAAGCATTTATTGAGCATCTACTCTGTGCCAGGTACCGTTCCAGGAATTCATTAGGGAACAAAAGAGACAATATCCTGCCCTGATGGAGCTTACTTTTTTCTTTGACTGTGGTAGAATACTTGGCATTCAAGCTCATAGTTTCTCAGGCTTGGCCACAGATCAACCCCTGAAGCCAATCTTTTTGTAAATAAAAGTCAGATTGATTTCTGGAGCTCCTTAGTATTTTTCTGCCTCTTTTAATAAATTACGCCAAATTGCTTGGCATTCTACTCTTCTGTCATTACGAATGTTACTAGATACAAGCATGTGTGTCACTGGACGGCCCTTTTGGTTAGTAATGCTCCGTCCAGAGAAGTACCTTTCCACGATGAGTTGTTTTTCCTGATTTGCTTTAAGAGAGGCACTTATCTGGAGACTCAGCGGTCTGTGTGTTTTGTCGTCTGTTTGTTTTTGTAGCTGCAAACTCTCTGGGCTCAGAAGGGCCCAGGCTTTGTAGTGGGTGTTTACAGTTTTGCTGTGGACTTTGTGTCAGCTTCCTTCCTTCACCTCTCACCTCTCTCTCCTGCCATATATGCTTTGGGCACTCGGAGGGGTATCTAGCCAGACGTCATGTAGTATATTTTGGTATATTTTGGCAAGTGTTGTCATCACTTGAGATTCTGATCTATGAGAGACTGAGAAGCCCGGTGGATGTTTTTGTTTCAGAGGATAACAGGCCCACGAGTCCTGTGATCGTGAGTCCAGTTAATGAGACGATAGAAGTGGACTTGGGTAAGTGGACTCCAATCAGGATATGCCGAAATTGTTATTTTGAACTCAAGATTAAGCTAAACTGTACTTTTACTACACATAACCTAGGTTGTTTACTGGATATATCTATAATTAGAGAGGAAGTGGCACAGATTGTGTCTTAAATGTTTCTTTGGATTTCTTGTCTCTTATGGCAAAAATCTAGCCATGTCTGATTTACCCACCCTTACTTTTTTATGGACACTTATGACTCGTGAAAACATCAGCCAAAGACCAAGTTCAACAGGCCTAGGGATGAGAAATGTAATTTATTTGGTACAAGGTAGATTTCTTATGACCAGAGCTTTTAGGCAGAAGAGTAAACCTACAGGCCAAAAAGATAGTCATTCTAGAAAAATACTTTTCCAAGTTAGTGAAAATTTTTTGTTTCAAAAATAAGGACATAATCCTATAAGCATCCAGACCTATACTATACAATACAATAGCCACTTGCCACATGTGGCCATGTACATGTAAATTTAAATTAAGTAAATTAATTTAGTTCAATTAAAAATTAGTTTCTCAGTCAAGGACTTTATAGCCACATGTGACCAGTGACTACTGGATTAGACAGCACAAATATAGAACATTCCCGGCATCACTAAAAATTCTCTCGGGAATCACTGGTCCAAACATAAAAACAGATTTTTGTATCAGAGGATCAAAAATCAGGCTGGTATACAGAATTCTCTTCTGCAACAGCAATTGCATGAAGACAGTGAATAATTGTACAGAGATTATAAGGTAAAAGTTTGTGACCTATGAATTCTGTACTTGGCCAAGTTGTCATTCATGGTGGAAGATGATATAAAGACATTCTTAGGTATAAACAAATAAAATTAAATATAGGCCAATAGAATCTAAAGCAATATTTCTCAACCTTGATTTTTTTTTCATTATTGCTCCCCTTTAGAGCCTAAAAAGGCATTTTTCCTCCTAATACTCTTCCTTTTCTTGGAATTTTAATGCCATAGATATATTGTCTTTTGTTGATGTACCACGACACTTTGGAGGGCCGCAAACCATTGCAATAGCTAAGATTTTCTTGCCCCTACCCCCTCACCAAGAACCAATTTTTGCCCCATTGGCCGTCACTCCTGATGAGAATGTATGCTTTAGAGGTGTGTACTTTAGAGCTCTAAAGCCTGGGTTGCATTGATCTCCAAATCTAAAAATAGCTTCATATCAGGAAACAGTTATTTTAATATATCACATTGATCAGATGCAACATCACCCTGTCATATGATTATCATAAAGGGTGTCAAACAGGCATTTGATAAGATTCAATACCACTTACCAAGAGAATGACTTAGAAAAATAGGAATTGAGAGATACTTCCTTAATTTAATAAATAACATCAGTTCAAACCAATAGTCACCAACAGTTTTAATGGTGAAACATTATAGCGTTAGACTTTGTACGGGCATAGTCTTTCTCATTGAAGTCCAGAGCAAGACAAAGATACCTGTATAACCAGTATTACTTAACATGTTCTAGAAGTGCCCACTAATGCGATCAAAGATAAAAAGAACCAAGGCATGCTTACTGTAAGGAAGAAAATCACTTTTTTATTATTTTCAGATCATATAATTATGTACCTACAAATCTCAAGAGAATTACTGGGAAAAAATAGAATTAATTGGCCAGATATAAGATTAATATTCTAAAATATTAGACTTGTTTAGCAATAATCAGCTAAAAAACATAATGGCAAAAGAGATGCTATTTCCAACAGTAAATGTCATGGAGATGTCTATAAAATATCTTAACAATCTTTTTAAAATATATGGGATTTATAAGGGAGAAAAAAACAAAAAACCCAAACCCTGACATACAAATCTCATAAAAATAGATTGAAAGCATATATTCTCAAGGTGGTGGGGGTGGGGGGTGTCGATGTTGTCTCCAGTGGGGAGAAAATTGATTCTTACAGGGTGAAAAAAATCTTAAATCAACAGATATACTGTATATCTGTGGTATTAAAAATTCATGGGGAAGGAGGCAATTAGGATAAAATGTCTAAAAAGGCTCCAAAGGGAACATAATGAAAACTGTCTTGAGAAAGATCAGTTTAAGGAAAACTGTAATAGAAATGTATGTGTTTTTCCTATAAGAAAAACTGGAAATTGAAAAGATATCAACTCTCAAAATTACAGATTTAATGGAATTCCAGTAAAAATATAAATGTGCTTAGAAATTGACAAGTGATTCTAAAATTCACCTGGGAGAATAAAATGATGAGATTATTAAGACAGTGTTGGGAAGAAGGGCACTAAATCATATTAATATTTACCCTAAAACTGTAGTAATTAAGAGTGTGGTATCCTTGGCATCAGTATACACATTCAGATCAACCAAGAAAGTCCCATTTTATGATAAAGGCAGCATTACGAATTAGTGAGGAAGAGATTTATTATTCAGTAAGTGGTTCTGAAATGATCAATCAGCTGTTTGGATAAAAACATTAAGTTAGAGCTCCCTCTCATGCCATAGCCAGTTATATTCTAGACAGCTTAGAGAGCTAGAACAATCAAAACAATAAGACAGTGAACTGTATACCCAAAAGAAAACATATGTGGATATTTTCCTGATTTGGTGGTAGAGAGGGCTTTAGAAAAAAATCGTGAAAACACATAAAATAAAGGTAACTGTTATAAATTTAATCAAATAAAAAAAAAATTTACACCAAAGAATTTCCACAAACAAAAATAAAGTGAAAGCAACAAACTGAAATATTTGGATATTTGGAATAGTTTTCCTGTGTGATAAAGAGTTAATATCCTGATGAATAAAGAGCTCTTACACATCAGTAAGGGTGTTATGAGAGTGGAATTAAATAATGGACAGTAGGCATAACAAGCAGTGCACAAAAGAAAGGCAAGTGAGTACTGAGCTTATGAAAAACATGTTAATTCACCATGAATTCAAGAAATGCAGTTGAAAATTTAAATGGAATTTTTTTCTTCTCTCAATTGGCAATGACTAACCCAAAATATTTGCTATCTGGGGGTTTTGGGGCTAAATGGCACGTGCATATGCTGCTAGACAGAGTAGGTGCGTACCGTCTCACTTGGGAGAGGGGGCTTGGCTTCTAAAATGTGTATCTCTTTTAACTCAACTCTACTTCCAGATTTTTATTCAAAATAATACTTTAGGATATGTACAATATTGATGTACAGGAATGTTCATTGGAAAATTAATCATAATAATGAAAAATTAGAAACAAGTTGTGTTTAGCAATAGGAAGATAGTTAATCATAGTATATCTGTATTATGGAATACTAAGCAGCCATGAAGCAGCCTATTTTGGAAGGCTAATCATGGGATCCGAAATTCCCAATGCACAATAATTACAAATAGTAGACAGTAACACCCCATTTTAAAAATTGCATATGTACACAGAGAGGATAAGGAACGAGATACATAAAGTTACTAGTAGTGGCTGTCTCTGGGTTTTAGGACAGTTTTTCTTTGTGCTTTTCAATAATTTAAAATTTTTGTTCAGTAGCCATTTGTAAATCCATTGAGATAGAAAGATCAGATAAAAATCAATTAATGCTATGATTAAAAGTACATCGCTTTGCAGGATCCCGGGTACAACTGATCTGCAATGTCACTGGCCAGTTGAGTGACTTTGTCTACTGGAAGTGGAATGGCTCATTAATTGATGACGAAGATCCAGTGTTGGTGGAAGAGTATAAAGGGTAAGTATGCTAAGAGCCGGTCGTGCAATAATAGCGAAGTTTTGGTATTAAATTCCATGTCATACTTTATCTAACTCTGATAGTTTAATCTAATAGCAAGGGTTAGTTGGCAGTTGACTAGTCCTGAACCCTTTGCTGCCCATATTGAGTTTTGCTAAGCTAAGCAGGATGCAAGTGTATTTATCTTGTACATTTAAGGTAGAAGTACATGTCATTGTGGTGCAAATTCTGGACCACTTGGAGGGCTTTCCCTTAAATTCAGTTATATATGTTGCAACATTCCAATAAAGCGATTTTCCTGAATTACCATTATGTTATTCTGTTTTTTAAGCAGTTTAGAAAAGACTTGTTAAATGGGGCCAAGAATCAGGCACTCCACTGCTCAAGTCTCTAATGGCTCCCTATTAACTCTCTAGCGATAAACTCCCGACTCCTTAGCGTCACCTCCAAACCCTTTGTCATCTGCCCCAATTTACTCTTGTTTCATCAGTTCTACTCTGTGCCTCATGGAGACAAGAATACATATGTCTACATTTTTCTTCTTGGAAGCTGGTAATTTTAATTTGATTTCTCTGCTACTGAGTCTTTTACTGACAATGGTCTTAGGGCTGTAAAAATCTCAGATCACTGTTGCTGACAGCCTGATTGTTATATGTGCTTAGGGCTAATGATTATTTCTGCTGTAATTTATGCGACAAAGAGGTAAGCCATGTGTACGTGTTTTATTTGTAGTTGATGCAATTTACTTAAACAACTTTATTTACGCTCTCTCTTTTGAACAGAGGAGTGCAAAATCCTGCACCCAGAAGAGGGAATACAATCATCACAGTGCTTAATATTACAGAAGTGGAAAGTAGATTTTATCTATATCCATTTACCTGTTTAGCCAGGAATTCATATGGTATAAATGCAGCATATGTCCAATTAAGGCATCCAGGTAAACAACAGAACTATTTATTTGAAATGCAATTTTGTTCGACCGTGGTAAGATTCCATGACCTTGAGGTTTGCAAACCTCTTTCCTCTGCCCAGAACACTCTTGGATTCCTCTTCACCTGGGTAAATTCTATTCCTCTCTCACTTCTCACCTGAAGTATTTCTTCTTCTAGGAAGCTTTTCTGTCCTGCTGTCTGCCCTCAACCCAGCTCTCTGCCCAAACAGAGGACTTTAGGGCCTCCATTAAGTACTTCCCTAGCACCATATGTCCCTGTCACGGGATCTGCCATACTCAGTTTTCTTTACTTGACTGTAAATTCTGTGATGGTGCAGACCACTTGTCTTACTAATCATTTTATTTCCAGAGCTAGTAGCAACTTAAGTTTGGTACATCGTAGGTATCTAATGAGTATTTTTAGGTAAATGACTAATGATAGATGCACAGGGAAAGCCTAAATATCCACTTTCGAGAGAGGATGTCAGAAGTTTTGATTTTCGTAAATTGTGTAATCAAGCACAGGATTGAAAGTATTTGTGAAATGTTTTAAGATTATTTGTAGTTGAATTAAAAACAGGGTATTTATGAATGTGTGCATGGAAGAAAATCTAAAAGAACCTACAGACAAACTATTAGAATTAGTAAATGAATTTAGCAAGATCACTAGTGTGTATATATGTCGTATTTCTATGTGTGTCTATAAATACCAACAACAAACAAATAGAAATTAAATTTAAAAGAGACCATTTACAGTTGCATCAAAAATTATCAAATACTTAGGAATAAATCTAGTAAAGGCTGTTCAAGATCTCTGTAAACAAAGTAAAAAACATTATTGAGATAAATTAGAGAAGTCCTAAATATAGTCATGCGCCACATAATGACGTTTCAATGACGGACCACATATACAAGGTCCCATAAGATTAGTACCATATAGCCCAGGTGTGTAGTAGGCTATACTATCTAGGTTTGTGTAAGTGCTCTCTGTGATGTTCACACAATGATGAAACCGCCTAAAGACGCGTTTCTCAGAACGTATCCCTGTTATTAAGCCATGAATGACTGTAGATGGAAGGATATAAAATGTTCATAGATTAAACAACTCAATATTGTATAGCTGTCACTTCTCCCCAAATGAATCTGTAGGTTCAAAATAATTCCAATCAAAATCTCAGCAGTATTTGTGCAAGTGCAAGTGTGTGTTTGTGTGGGTGTGTTGTTGTGGGCAGGTTTATTCTAAAAGTCATATAGAAATGTAAAAGGCCAAAAGAAGTCAAGGTAGTCTTGAATAAAAACGATAAATCTGGAAGAGTTACACTATAGATATCAGGATCTTGCATGAAGCTACAATAAGTAAGACTGTACATGTGAACTATCAGTTGGGCCAGTTGGATGTTAGTCTGGAAAATATCTTGATTTCTACTGACGTGATACCCACATCAGTCGCAGATGGATCAAACACCTAAATTGGAAAAGTAAAATAGAGCTTTTAGATTCTCTTTTCTGGATGCCTACATGGCTCCTGACATTTAGAAGACACTTTCTTCTTTCTTCTTCTCTACCCTCTTTACCTCCCCTTCACCTTACTCCTCTGCCCCTCCTCCTCTGTAATCATTGGGTGAATAATTAGCTAGCGAAGCCAGGAGAATGTGGAAGTGTGAAACATTCTGTATGGCGTCCCTAAACCCTTTCTTTTCTTCCCCCCAGCATTCAGCTTTCCCACCTGACTCTTCTACCTCCAGGAACTTTTATAGGTTTTTGGGGGACTTTGACTTTTACTCGTCTTGCTATGGAGTGTTCTGGCCTATAGTCTTTGGTATTTTTTCTGTTATTGTATATTATACTACTTAGGTGGAAATTTAATACAGTGTACCTTAGTTTTATATCCATTCTAGATGGCTTTGTACATTAGCATCCATTATTAAATGGTAATAATGAATGGGTTAATACTGTCTGGGATTAAACCAATCCCAAATATGGTTTCTCTGGGATGATAATGTTTAATTTTCTATGCTCAAATTTTCAGTTCTTTTAGTTCTAAATTTTTTTTTCCTCTTTTATTCTTTAGTCCCTGATTTCCAGAAGCACATGATTGGTATATTTGTCCTGTTAACAATAGTCATTACATTCTCTGTTTTCATCTATAAAATCTTCAAGGTTGACCTAGTGCTTTGGTACAGAGATTCTTGCTATGATTTTCGCCCCCCAAAAGGTACAATTTTGTATTCTATGCAGTATTTTCTTGTTGGAAAGAAGGGATAGTTAAGAGATGTAGAAGATAACTCAGAGGGTTTTTACTTAAATTTTAAAATGAAGTGTGGCATATACAAGAACAGTAGTTACTCTTATACATAATTATAATTTCATGACTAAATAGCATTGTTTTCCAAGTTACTGTTTTAGTATTCGTAATGGTGGGATAAACAGGCATGTAAAGCATCTGCTTATAAATCCACTTGTTTGGAAGCCATTGCTGAGGACCTGCTCTGTTCTGGGTAGGACATGGATCACCCCGTACTCTGCCTTCAAATGAAAGAAATGGCTTGATTTTCATGCATCAGGGAGGTGTTCTCTTTCTGTTTTGTTTAAACCTTGCAAAAAACTAATACAATAATATATAGAAGGAAGAATGGATAGAATTCAGGGCTGAGACATTAGGGGAAGAAGATAAGACCAGGGAGACAAGGAGAGTTCCATCCTGAGGGGTAAGAATCTCTGCATGTGGGGTAGCCATCAAAGAATATAGGAAGAACTTTGTAGTAAAACACAATAAATAGGAACTTGTAAGAGATGAACACTTTAAAAAGGTATTATACTTTTGGTATTGCTGCTTCATTCGTACCATCATACAAAAAAATGAATACTTCATTCTGAAATGCATGTTTGTGATATTGAAATGCTTTGTGATATTGATGTTCTGAAATGCATGTTTGTGATTTGCTTTACCAAATCTCTTATTTTTCCTTTTGGTTCTAAATATATTACATTTTCCCTTTAGCTTCAGATGGAAAGACCTATGATGCATACATACTATATCCAAAGACCCTTGGGGAAGGGTCCAGCTCTAACTCAGATATTTTTGTGTTTAAAGTCTTGCCTGAGGTCTTGGAAAAACAGTGTGGCTATAAGCTGTTCATTTATGGAAGAGATGACTATGTTGGGGAAGGTATGTATGTAATGGAAAAAAGTAAAAGTCTTGTTGAAAAATGATTTAACTACTAAGTTAATTAGGTTAATTCAGTTGAGTCTCATCTTTCTAGAAGAATGTAGCATAGGAGCACATATTTGACGATTTTAAGAACCTCTTTAGTGGTACATGATAAGGAGTTTCACCTTTGTTAAATGCGGAGTATTTACTTTTCTCATATTTTGTTGGAGCATCAATTACCTGAGTTTTATTTAGTTTTGGAAAACTTAACAACTACTTAGAGCCAATAGTTACTTTACCACTGATACAATAAATTGGAGTGGTATAGATCAAATGGTTTAACAAGAAGGTTTTAAAATTTCTACTGAAAGTATTCTGAGTCCTAAATGAAATATCCAACTTATGTGGGTCAATTTTTGAGCTAGTCTATAAAATGAGAAACTCCTTTCATCTTAAGAAGGTAAGAAAAAAAGAGTATTCGGAGACATAGAGGGTGGGGTGGGAAGAACCTTGTGGAGTTTGGGTTCTAGCGAGAATGATTATAAATTGAAATTTTACTTACTATGCTGTTCTTCATGTTTTTCAGACATTGTTGAGGTCGCTAATGAAAACATAAAGAAAAGCAGGAGACTGATTATCATTTTGGTCCGAGAAACATCAGGATTGAGCTGGCTGGGGAGCTCATCTGAAGAGCAAATAGCCATGTACAATGCTCTCATTCGGGATGGAATTAAAGTTGTCCTGCTTGAGCTAGAGAAAATCCAAGACTATGAGAAAATGCCAGAATCCATTAAATTCATTAAGCAGAAACATGGGGCCATACGCTGGTCGGGGGACTTTAGAGAGGGATCGCAGTCTGCAAAGACAAGGTTCTGGAAAAACGTTAGGTACCAGATGCCAGTCCAGCGGCAGCTGCGTTCATCCAAGCGCCAGTTACTGTCCCCAGCCACTCGGCCAGACTCTAAGGAGAAACTGCAAGGGGAGGTCCACGTGCCTCTAGGCTAGCAGGGAGACGCTCAGCCAAGAGTTCCTTGGGTGGCTCCTGTCTTATGGCGTTGCAGGCTGGGCTGTGCCTCCACTGACTTGTACAGTCATAAAATGCACCTGTATAGTCCCTTATTCCCAAGGTCACCTGGAATCAGATTGTTAAGGGAGCAGGATGTGGTGACAATAGCAGGCCAGGGCAATTCAGAACAGAGGGCTTGGGAAGTCCTTTAAAAAGGCAAATGCCCTGTCTGAAGGTTTGAACTTGCTGGGAAAAGACACTGGGACAACAAATGAGAGGAAAGAACATGCAGGAAATACTCACCATCTCTAGACGGTTTTTTGACGTTGTCTACAGGTGGAGGGCGGGGCTGTGGCCCAGTCTGGGGACTGCAGGCTGACTGGCCCTCGAGTTGCTCTCCTGGGCAGAGGTGCTGGTGAAGTGAGACTGACACTTCAGGAAAGCAGAAATATCCTTGGAGAACTTTCCATTTGCCTTGCATTTTCCATACATATCAACAGCTAGCAGTCAGTTTCCAAAGACTGAATTTCATTTTACAGATCTTTAAAACTGTCATTTCAATGAACAAAGGGATTCTCTAGGATTCCAAGGTTTTGAAATAACCTTAGCTTTCCACTGGAGAGAGAATTTCAAAAGCACGAGTAGCAGAGAACTGATCCCCTCCTAATGCTTTGCCCCCTGGAGTGACCATTCTGTTCTACCTTATTCTTCTGCATTTTACTAGACTCATTACTTCCAAGTCGCTTTCTCCCTCCGCTGTGTCACACACGTCCCACAGATTAACCATCCTTCATAAAATGCTGTTCTCATCTCATCACGCTCTTGCTAAAACACCTCCACGGGGCTGCTCCTGGTTCAGGAGCTAAAGCCCAAGTTCTCCCACTAGCATTTCACCACTGCCCCAAAACCCCCAGTCTGTCCACACAGCCGTCCCCTCTCTGTCCTGCTATGTGAATTCCCAGGTCAGCCTCATGCGCCTTCGCACCTGCCCCAGCGCTCCTCCATCTCGGCCTCGCCTTCCTGTCTCCTCTAACCACAATGCCTTCTCGCATTTTCTCCAGCTGACCAGAATTTTAGTGAAATTCAAAATTTACTCCGTTTCTCCAGGAGATTTTCCCCAAGAGACTGCTCTAAGATGCTCACAGGCTCCTCAGTCTGATGCTACTTCCTGTTGGCTGTCACTCTATGAGAAGCTTGTTCTCTCTCCATCTAGAAGCCTGCTCTCTGAGAGGGAGGCCATGCGTGTCTTTGTCCGCAGGGCCTTCACGAGTAATTTGCACATATGACATAGATTTGTGTAGTGCTTTATTGTTTAAAAATGTCCACAGATTATCTTATTTAATTTTTGCGATCATCTTAATTTTATAGAGAGAGTAAGTGACCTGTTTTAAAAATATTGCATTCTTAGTATTATCAGACCTGGGCTTGCACCTCCGTTGCTGGCTTCTAGTACAGTGTCCTCAATATTTGATTTTAGGTCAATAAATGTCCCCTTTACCCCTACCCTGGCATTTTTGTGAGAAGAAATGATGGTTTTCTAGAATGGTGGCTGAGTCGAGGATTGCTTTTATTTAAGAAACTTAATTCCAAACTTTTGAATGTTGGAATTTACAAAAATTATGTTGAGATTTTATGAAAAAATTTTCTGCTTTCGTATATTCTTTCCCTAAAGGTAAATATTTCTTAGAATTTAAACATTCTAAATCTAAAAATATTTTAAAAATGAAAGAAAATTGGTTTTTTTGGTATAGAAAAATATTTTTTAAAACTTGGTGATAGTCCTCAGAATAATTAGAGAAACCTGGAAAACCACAAAGCCAAGTTTATGTGCCACTTAACTGAAGGACACATGTACAGTTTTAAAAGTCGTAAGGACGTGGACAGGCCTTCTGTTTTTTGCATTTTTAATATTTAAAATTATGGGTGAACACAGAGTTTTATTTGGTATATTTTATTCCCCGAAAGTAGTCAGAACTAGACAAAAATAGAGTCGAATACTTTGGCTCTTCTCTTTCCACCTGTTTTCTCTTGGATCCAGTCTGACAGCCCTGAGTCACAGGGCTGTGCTGGAGCTGCTGTTTTCAAAGAAAGGGCCTTATTTGCGTTTGGCAGCACGCGCAGACTGCAGCCAGAGTCTGCAGGGTGGGGGTGCGGGGCTGTCGTGTCCCAACAGGGCTGCCAGATGCTTTGAACATGCAATGTTGCTGATCATTTGTAGTCTGTCATCTATAAAGTGTAGTGCCCAGAAAGCCAATTCTGAAACTTAGAATTAGCGGCACAATTGGCCAGAAAGTAAGGAGAGGGGACAACAACCAAGAATTACCAGTGGCAATGCACCTGGAATTTAGGGAGGAGGAGTCCAGCAGGAAAGTGCATGTGGGGGGTCACTCCCATCCCCACGGGAGGATTCCTTTCCGGAGGAAGGAGCTGAGTTCCTAGTTCCCTGGGAACTTCCTTTGTTTTATTGTTTCCTCCCAAAACCTCTCTTAAGCTTTTCCTTTCAGGCATTCCCCATTAATTAAATTTGACTGCATTATCTGATAGTATTTTTTTTTTTTTTTGTCAGCCTAAGTGTTTAAGAAAAGTTTAAGCAAAGGCACCAAAGTGTTTCATTTCCACTTGCTTAAACTGGCTTAGCAGAATGTGTATGTTCATTCTCCTGCCTCTCTTTATTTTATTTGCAATAAGAGAAAAGGTATTGAGCCATTTTTTTAATGACGTTTTTGATAAATTATATTTGTACTGGTTAACAATGAAGGGTTTTTTAAAAACTTGTTTGTATAATTCTGCCACAGATACTGAATATTTTTATACAGTAAAACACCAGATTCATGTACAGCAGGTATCATTGATCAATGGACTGTACTTGTTTTCCAATAAAATTGTCAAAACCTGTTACTGAGTATTCTCATGAAAATCTGTGTCTTTGCCCGCCCTCTCCTGGGTTTACCTCGCACTCCCTTCCGGGTCTGATGTGGGGCAAGGACACCTTCTGCCTGGGAGGTCAGAGGCCGTTAGTCAAACGATGAGCCTGACTCCCGTGTGTAGCCTCAACTGTCCTCCATTTGCTTGCTTCCACGTGGACTGCAATGTGAGTCTTACTGTTATTAACCCTTGACCTGTCCAGAAAATAAGGGCAACATTTGTATAGACTTTTACATTTTACAAAAGGTTTCCTTTTATTTTCTCCTTTGACCCAGGAGGTAAACAAAATTGGCCAACTTGGTGTCTAAAATGCAAACTCGAATGCTCACAAACTCTAATGATCAGGGAGCCCTTCACACCCAGTCAGCGCCTCTTGATTCTAACCTCACAGCAATGCTCAACAAGCAGGCAACTCTGGCGGTACCTACACAGCAGGGCGGAGGGGGCAGGTCACCTTCGAGTCTGAGAGTCCACTATAAATCCTGCCTCCACCATCTACGTGGTGTGAAAACCTGGACAAACTATTTGAACCCCAGTTTCCTCACCTATAAATGGATATGATACCTAATGCGTAGAGTCATGTGAAGGTTAAAAAGATGAAATAGATGATGTCATGCAGCGTGCCTAGCATACAGCAGGTCCTCAGAAAACGGTAGCTTTGTTAGTAGCAGTTCTATGAAGAAACTTGGTTATCTCAAGTCATGCTCGAGTCTGCAAGTCGAATGGACAGAGAGGAGATGAAAACTAGAAGTGGCGACTGACACCAAGGGAGGAAACACGGCTAACCTAAAAGTAAGGATGAGGCATGCGACAGCCAGGTGAAGTGGTGTGGTGTGGGGTCCAGGAGCCCTGTGTCCCTGCAGCCCCAGGCGTGTCTGTGTCCCTGAGGGCCAATGACCAACTTTCATGGTGACCCTGTGCCAGCCACAAACTTTAAAGGACATTTAGTGGTCTAAGTAAAGAAAGGGATTTAACACATTCCTCAGGGGTTTATCAATAAAAATTAAAAAATGCAAGAACTTATAAAAATTTAAGAATCAGCTACTCTGAAAACTTACCTATACAGAATTTCTCACTGGAAGAATTCAGGGAGCTTTTCACCATATTTTGGTTATTTTACCAGTTAATGCATTCCTTAGCAAACAGAAAAATCAATACTAATAGCCATTTAAAAGTCATTCCTTTTTTTTTTTTTTTTTGGTCTTTGGAATTATTTCTCAATTGGGGTGCCATCTGGTGGAAAGAGACCTGAGTTTAAATTCCTGCACTGTCACAATTTTGAAACTACAGCAAAGCACTTTGTTTTGAACCTCCATTTTCTCATCTATGTAATAGGACTTCATATGTGGAAAGCCTCTGTCCAGTTGTTTGAGATAGAATCTCAAAATATATTTTCTTAATTTTACCTCTTGATTAGTACAGATAAAATAAATTCATTTACCCAAAATATATCTTTCTCAAATTCTGGGGTTTGGGGTGTGGAGGGACAGGGGGGCATATAGTCTTGGTGTTACCTTCTTAAAATGATATCTTTTACTTAATCCAATTTTAGCAAGTCAAGATCTGGCTTAGTAATTTTAATATAGTAGGTTTCCCAAATATTAATTGAATGACTTTTAAGTATTAGTATCATACAGTTATAAAATCAGAGATTTCTTCAAGCTAATTTGTCAGAAAATCTTTTCAATTTTGAGGCAAGAATCTGTGAGTGCAGTGAGTTTGGCTTAATGTGGAGGCCACAGAGAGGGTAGCAGGTGGGGAAGAAAATGATCCAGGCTTGGAAGCGGGAAAGATCTTCCTTTTTTACTAGAATAAATGCACAAATGAATCACGATAGTAGCAAGAATTCATAAGATAGGACAAATAGTTTACACACAAAACATACGTGGGGAGACAGGTGGGAGGGACATTTTTTTGGGAGTCCTAAGTAATATTTTGCAACCAAAATATGAAGACCTGTGTGTGTGTGTGTGTGTGTGTGTGTGTGTGTGTGTGTGTTAGATTTAGGGCAAGGAAGAGTTACAGGAAATAGATACCATTTAAAAGGAGTATTAACCTTTCAGAACAAAAACATGCTCATCTTAACACACGTTGCTCAGGTTGCCTCTGAGGAAGACTTGACTGATTAAAGTACATAAATCCTCTCCGTTCACCTGAAATCTGATGCCCAAACATTAACATGCCGGTCATTAAAATCTGGGGCTGTTAGACCAGCTGAGCCTGTACCACTTGAATCTAGACTCAGGATCCTGTTGACTTCTCTAGTCCGTGCTCCACCAGTTGGGAGGTTAGTTCACTCAGAGTCAGTCAGTGAAGCTTGTTTTTCTCAGAACATTTGACCTGGAAGTGATCCCCAGTGTCACTTAGCCCATGCTTCTGGGGCTGGGGCGAACGGCCCTGATACCATTCCCGTGTTCCTTGGCCTTCCTTTCATTAAACACATCCCAAGAGTGAGACTCCTCAGACTTCTTCAGTGAGAGGGTATCACGTGTTTCACAGCCCTGGTGGGAACCCACTTCTGCTTCCGCTCCTGTGGTTATCCTGCCTGGCTACCGCTCCTTTTTCTCTGTTCAGCCACCTTACATCATTTATCCTGTTCAGCCTGAGGTAGACACCAGCTTCTCGTTCGCCTTCACGGCTGTGGACAGTGGCCATCTGTTTGAACACTTTGTTGTCAATGATACTCCATAATCCTGCCTTCCACACTATACTTAATTGCTTCTGAATTCTTATGTTTCCTAAAACTGGACCCCAAGTCCTACCGCGAATTCCAAATCATAGGGGAAACATTTTTGCTCTCAGATT